TTTTCTTTCTTTTTTTTTTTTTGAGACAGTCTCACTACGTTGCCTGTGGTAGAGTGTTGTGGCATCACAGCTCACAGCAACCCTAAACTCTTGGGCTTAAGTGATTATTTTGCCTCAGCCTGCCAAGTAGCTGGGACTACAGGTGCCCCCCAAAATGCCCAGCCATTTTGTTGTTGTTGTGATCGTTGCTTAGCAGGCTGGTGCTGGGTTCGAACCCACCAGCCATGGTGTATGGCCGGCACCCTAATCACTGAGTTATGGGTTCCAAGCCAACTTTTCATATTTTCCTTCAACATTACTTATTTAAAAGTATGAAGGTCACTATGAAAGTTTTGAGACAATCTATGTTATGGTCCATTATTTCACTTCCAAGAAGCACAGTGGACAGCATCATTTCAACTTGCTCAGCTTACTGGTTTCTGAAAAGACTTCCTTTGTTTCTCTAGGCACAGCACTCAGTCAGCATCAGCTATAGAGTTGGGAAGAGAGCACTTTTCTGTAATGATTTTAAGAGTAGGTTCAACGAGTCTCAAAGCTTTGAGCTTTTGCAATGTGCTTTTGGGGACCTTGCTACTTCATGCTTAACGATTTCGCAGTGATTTTGAGAATTTGGAAAAGGCCAAGCTTCACTAAAAGACAAGGAGAGAAGTGGATGTCCAAGACCACAGTGACTTAAGAAAACATGACCACATGTGGAAAAAATGGCTCATGAAAACAAAAAGTGACATTTAACTACACTGAAGCGGGACCACAGATTTGATCCCCAGCAGTGTCCAAAATCCTGCATGATTGTTTTCCTAATAGGCAACTCACACTTTGACAGATGAGCAAATGCACATGTGTGTTGAATGATGTGAAGAAATGCCAGTCAGATTCCGCAAAGGAAAGCAAGTCTAGACCTGTCTCTGACATAGTTACTAGCGAAACTAGTGGCAACTTTCTCCTCTCAAAGTGATCATCTTGCAACCGTGCCTCTGGAGAAACAAAGGACTGTTGTGATACACATCAGCAGGCCTATCAAAAGTTTTAGGGAAGCTTCAAGAACCAAGAACAGGTGCCAGGAACAGGACTGTGGCAGACCATCTTGCCATGACAACGTGTCTGCCCACACAACCACCATTACCAGTTCCTGGAGTCCACAGAGGTTAAACTTAGGACTCACCACACCACAATCATGACCTGGTCACATGTAATTATCTCTATTCCCTGTAGTAAAAAATCACATAAGTGAACAAAGATTTTCCAGCAGTGAAGAAGCTGTTCAAACCTATGAAAGGGAGTTTACAGTACTGGAAGAAAATAAGTAGAAAGAGTGTTTACAAAAATGGTTTATAAGAATGCAAAAGTGCATAGAAGGTCATGGCAATTATTCTGAAAAAGTTGAGTAATCAAAATGATTTTACATTTCTTAATTTTTGTGTATCTCAAATCTTTTGTAGTGCCCCTCATGTGAAGTATATTTTTTATTATTTTATTTACTCTCTACTCGTAGATTTTAAATTTTATTATGTTTTCACTTTCCTAATTGAACTTAAAAAACTAATTTATCATTATTTAATTTCATCCAGTTATTTTATAATCTCAGCTTCTGATCATCCAGGGCTTTTCTGTTATCATTTTTTTTCTCCTACTTCATAGATCATACGAAATTTGGTTCATTTTTTAATGACTCCTTAAACAGTCTTTTTAATTCACAGTAGTCATTTTATACATCTCTAGTAATCTTTTTCTATGCTTTTTTCTTCTTTTATTCATCAATATAATTTTATAGTCTGTTATTTGCGATGGTGTTAATTTCCCTCTGTATTCATCTTTAACCAAAGCTAGATCTTTCTATTCTGTGACTTTTCCAACAAAGTTGGAGGAAAAAGAAACATTTTCTAAAACTCTTATCCCTGTCATCTCTAGATATGAAAGACAGAGTAATGTGTGTTCCTATACTAATTGTCAGTTCCTAGAACAATTTTGTCTTTTCTCTCCTGAGAGAATGTTCTTATATTACTATGTCTGCTTATACTCTGGCCCACGGACAGTGCACGGTGTACAACTCCCAGAGACTTGTTGTTGTTGTTGTTGTTGTTTTTATTGTTGTTGCAGTTTTGGGCCAGGGCTGGGTTTGAACCCATACCTCTGGTATATGGGGCCGGCACCCTACTCCTTGAGCCACAGGCACAGCCCATGACTTCTTAAATCAGGGTCCACTCCATTGTGGTATTTATTAGTGAATACTCGTGGACTAAATTTATCAGTATATGCCCTTATATATTTATCTTTCTCTTTTAATATCTACTTCTAATCTTATCATTATTTTATTTGTAATATCCCCCAATATGCTGAAGATAGGTGTGTATGTTTGTGGAAGTATGCGATATAAGAAAGATGCATAAATTGTCAAGATTTGTGTTAAGTATTTTTACTATAAACATAAAATAATCTATTATAGAGAGACAGACAATTGCCAGAAAATTTTTTGTATATGTTTTTATCTTTTTGGATCAATCTATAGTGATAGGTGTTGCACTGATATTTCCTCAAATTATCATATTAATACATTTTTCTATGCCTCTAGTCTGGCAGACATAAATTTTTCAGTTTCCTCTCAGAGACTGTGCTGTGATTTCAGACTCTAGGCTTCATACTTTGCTCGACCCTTATGCATAAATGTAGACATCAATAACACAAAGCCATATGATCAAGCAGAGTTTTCAGCATGGGCTACACGTCCCAACCTCCTACTTGTCTCTATAATTTCCCTTGTTATTTTTCCAGGCTCTCACTTTTTTGCCTTTAGTTTTGCTCCTTACAATTCCAGAAATTTGTTTAATCAATTATTCATATGTTTTGGAATGTTGGCAGAGTGCACATTCCTTTTTATTTTCAAACTTCTACCCTGACTGGAAGCCCTCAAAATATCAACTTAGCATGACCAAATACCACCCTAAATTATACTATAGACAGCATTTTTATTTGACATAATTTCAGAAAACTCAATATAATTCTCATAGTGTCAAAAATTTCTTTCAAGAGAATAGGATACTCTTCTAATGACTTTCAATGATGTACTTAAGTACTTATAAATGTGTGTTTTTCAATATCAAAGTGGTATAATGTTTGCACTGAGGCAACAATTCACAAAAATAAGCAAAGTTTTCATTCAGATGTGTTTATTTAGTATTACAGGAGGATGCAGGTCACGGAAATCAGCCTACAACATCTTTAGGCTCTGCAGAGATCCAAATACAACTTCTTAGATGATCCAAATTTTGATTTATGGAATATGGCTACCAGAGACAGGGCCAGCAATTCTCTGGGAATTTGAGCTATCATTGCCTCTGTAGAGTCAAATTGTAGGTTAATATTTTCAACTGTATTGGATAAGCTGGAAAAAATGTTGCTATAATATTAAAAATATTTTGATACTCACTTTCCTGGGTTGCTTAAACTTAGTTTTAAAAATATAGGTCTATTCAAATAAATTTATATGTATTTTTCCTCTTTCCTAATAATGAAAGAAATGTTTGTATTTAGTAGGGATTATTGCAAAATTTGAAGAAATTCTGGATATAAAAAGATTGATTTGGAGACGGCACCTGTGGCTCAAAAGGGTAGGGTGCTGGAGCCATATGCTGGAGGGGGTGGGTTCAAATCCAGCCCTGGCCAAAAAAAAAAAAAAAAAAAAAGATTGATTCTGGATTCAAGAGACAAAATGCAGCATATAGGTATTTGAGAAAAGATTTTTCTCCACAGCACTATTATATCCATGTAGTGTAGCTCATTGAGTAGCAATAATGGGGATCTCCAGTATACAGTTTGTGCTTCACTGGAGCGTAAGAGTAGGAAAGGTGCACATGAAGACTTAACTGAAGGCTAGAATGTTGGCACATGCATGCGTATAGCATTTCAGAAATTTTATTTCTAATAAAACAGTTTGCAATGACCCATAGCTTCACATGGTGGATTGTACTCCCTTCTCCCTTATCTCTTCACTTTTCCTACATCTTCTCCTCTCTTTTGTATGTCCATCGTCCTTGTCACCTCTTGCTCTGCTTTCTCTGGTAGCCCATGGTGTTGAGCTCCTCTCGTCATTCTTTCTGAACACATTCCTACCTTCCTGACATCTGTCTGGAAAGGTAACAACAGATAAATCCTGTGAAGCTAGCCAAACCGAAATTAGTTTGATGCGAATGGTGCCATAGGTTTTTCTGGTGAGTTTCTTCTATTTTCTACCACTATCTTTCAATATTTTTAAGACTTATTCTTTATCTCCTTCAAAAATCTCTAAGAACTACCCTTGAGGGATTGTGTCCTTTGGTTTCCAAGGCTCTGTTACTTTGCTGATCTTTCATTTAGAATATATTGGTATAAATATGTGACTATTATTCTCTTTAATGATAAAATGTTAAAATGACTTTACATATACATGAGATGGTTTTCATAACTGAAAAAAGCTATGCAAAATTATGCAGGGAAAGAAATTGTGGTAGTGAAAGAAATCACTAAAGTAAATTTTATAGATCTTTTGACACAGACCATAAGACTTTTTTAATGGCTTTTCTTCAAGAACAAGTTTTCAAGGATCAGGAAATAGGTACTTTACTTTTTTCCATTTGAGATCTGCTCAACATGAAAAATGCATTAGAAATTTATGTAATATAACTATTTCAAAGAGTCTTGAAATCACAATAATATGGAATACTTTTTAAAAGAAAGCTCCTAACATCTAGGAGGCTTGTTTCTTATTTATGTAATTAATTTCTATCATTGATGAGTTCTATAAAAATGAATTGAGTTGATAATATAGCATACAGTCAATGAATGTTGCATTCTGCCGTGAGACCAATCTGTATATCTGTTTTAATGTTACTCTCGAGTTTTCATTTCTTTTCTCTTTCCTTGCTACTGAATATTAAGTAATAAATCTATTTCATACCTGGGACACATTTCTCCTTAAAAATTAACTTGATCACTCCTTCCCGGATCTGTTTTGTTTTGACTCCATAAACAACGGGATTCAGAGTAGGAGGAAACATCAGATAGAGATTGGCAATAATGATGTGGACATGGTGGGGAATGTTTTTTCCCCCAAAGCGGTGAGTAAAAATGGTGAATAAGGCTGGAACATATGTGATAACAATAGCACATATGTGGGAGGTACAGGTGCTGAAGGCCTTGTGACGAGCATCTGCAGATGACAAACTCAACACAGCCCGCAAAATCATAGCATAAGATACAGCAATACAAGCCATATCAAAGGCCCCAATCAAAAGAGCTGCCAAAAGCCCATAGATAGCATTGATTTTAAAATTGCCACAGGATACCTTGGCCACAGACATGTGGTCACAGTAGGTGTGGGGGATGGAGTTGCCCCGACAATAGGGCAGGCGCTTGGTAAGGAAGGTGAATGGGATGATGAGCATCACACTCCTCAAGAAGGCAGCAAAACCAGCCTTGGCAATGACAGGGTTGGTGAGGATGGTGCCATAGTGTAAGGGGTAGCAAATGGCCACATAGCGGTCCAGGGCCATGAGCATGAGCACCCCAGACTCCATTCCAGTCAACATATGGACAAAAAACATCTGGGTCAGGCAAGCATTAAATTCGATCTCCTTGAGGTCAAACCAGAATATGCACAGCATATTGGGTACCGTGGTGGTGCACAAGGTGACATCAGTGAAGGAGAGCAGGGCCAGGAAGTAGTACATGGGCCGGTGCAGGGCCTGCTCATGGCTGATGAGGTAGAGGAGCCCACAGTTTCCCAGGACAGCAATGATGTACATGAAGCAGAATGGCAAGGAGAGCCAGATGTGTGTGGCTTCCAGTCCAGGAACACCATTCAGGATAAAGAATGGTGGGCTCAGGCAGGAGCCATTGGCCCCAGACATAATGTCTTATAGGAGGAGGGCATTTTACAACCTTTAATGGAAATTTCTTTCTTCCTGGAAAGTAGAGAGGTAGGGTTAGAGACCAGGTAAGAGGGACTGGTTTCAATGATGTGACCAGTGAATGCCATGAACCTTATTTTGATAACCAGGAATTTTCAAAATAGTCTAGCAAAGAAGACTTTGAATCTGGTGTCTAAAAGTCATTAAGCAGTCATTACACTACTCAACATCCCATTGCAAACTTTTTCTGAGTAACTATCTCTCCCCAGTGTACTTCTTACTCTCTACTATATTTCAGTAACAAATTGTGAGCTAGTCCACATGTATCTTCTTCCTTCCTGCAAACTGTTTCTAATATCAAATTATGCCGATGCTAATTGTACCTGATTCTTGTCACTATATCACCTGAGTACATTTATATGGTCACCCTAATCTGACCAGTCCCTACCTGCAGTTTAACTTTTCAGTTTTAATGGCTACTCAAAATTACTGCTTTTGTCTTGCCTTGATGATTATAAAAAACTATATAGTCTCTATATAAAAATTGTCAGCAATGACCCATATAACCCATACTATATAATAAATTGTAGATAATAAATGACATATAAATGAATGAATGAATGTTTTAGTTAATAAGGATTTGGTATGCCTGGTCCTTCATCTTTGATGTCAATATCATGTTTTTCTCCATTGTGGAATTTTAAAATAAATTATTGACAGGAAATAGAAAAGTATTTGCACTTCTAAAACACTACCAAGTTTTATTGAATTTTAGTAACAATTTTACTAAAGATTTTAGTTCAATTCGATATGGCATTTTTTCCCTTTAACTTCTCTGTATTTTCACTCTTATTAACTCCCTTTCCTCAAAGCTAGATTTACACTCAGGAAGTCCTTGGAGTTCTTTTGATTATAAATCAACTATACCGCTTTAATTTAAATATTATCCTCTTTGTCATACTGGATAGGTAATCAGTACAAAAAAAAATATCAAAGATAGCCTTCTATCTTTAGAATGTTGTTTATTATAGGGGAAGTAGAAAGAATTTCTTGAAGAATTAATAGCTTCAGGGGAGTTGAAGACTCCTGATGATTAGAATATTTCTTTTACTTGAAAAAATAAAATGTCCCTTTTTCTGGAGTAGAGCCCATATATTAAAGCAGACCTTTGTAACCATCTAGCAGAGGAAATTAGATACCTGTGGTATATATAAATGAATGACATGGCTGTGGAGTGTGAGATATATGCTCCTTGTGATATCCTAGAAATCACTGTTGTTGCTACTTTCACTGCCTAGAGTACAAAGGAAGGGAAAGAAAAACAAAAGACAGCACATTTCAGAGGCTTATATCCTCTGGGTTCCTAGCTGCCTGGATCTCATATAAAAGAGATCCTATATGGTATTTGTCACAATACCTCTCCCAAAATGTCACTGTGTAGAGAAATCATTTCATAATCCTAGATGAGAGAAAGTTCATTATTAAAATTTCCAATGCCCACCATCTTTTATCTGTATACCACAATGAAATGAATGAAATGAAAGGAAAATGAGACCAAGTCCAATAGAAGCCATCCAAAAAGAACAAGAACTATTACCTCTAAAAAAAGAGAAAGAGGAAAAGTGCCTGTTACTGCTACTGCCTTTGGTTAACTGTCCATGTATTCTAAGTTGTTGCATTTGCAATGAACAGTGTTTTCACATTTTCCCAAAATAGCTACTTGTGAAAATCACCCAAACTCACCTCAGTAGTAGGCATAATCAAATCTCTATTTATGACTGAGAACCTTTAGGAATTTTTGGAAATCTGAGATGGCATCTTCTTACATAGGATTTTCTGTTTCTCTGGGGGAATCTCTAGGATTACATCCCAGTAGTTGAGTCTCCACAATTAAGTGTCTCAGAGGGCTGTGTGTGAAAGAGAATGAACTTTGGGCCTGTTAGGAATAGATCTATATTTAGCAGCTTTTGAGTAGAAAAAGAAATAAAAACAAAAATAAAAAGACATTAAAGTTTAATGTCTTTTCCCAAATGGGACATGTGTCCATAAGTCTGGTGGTGATGAACATAACTTTTTAAAGATTTTTTTTCTCTTATTACAAAAGAAATACATTTTAATTTGGAAAATCTGGAATCTATAGACCTATATAATAATGAATTGGAAAATCAGTTGTAATCCTAACATAGAGGATAACCACTCTTAAAGCAAGGGTACATTTCAAAACAACTAGGAGCATATAATAAATGTTGTACCACAAAAATAAGTAAGTGAGGTGACGTTTATGTTAATTAGTTTGATCTTAGCATTCCACATGTTTATCAAATCATCACATTGTGTCCCATAAATGTATACAGTTGTGATTTCATAAAAATTAAGTTAAAAAAATAACAAAATTTCTACATTTCATTCAGTCATTTTATATTTATTATGTATAATACTTCTATTTTTAAAAAATAAATTTTAGGCAGTGCCTGTGGCTCAAAGGAGTAGGGCACTGGCTCCATATGCCAGAGGTGGCAGGTTCAAACCCAGCCCTGGCCAAAAACTGCAAAATAAATAAATAAATAAATAAATTTTAGCTAATATTTCTTTCTCTAACTGGCATTTTGTGAACATTTTATCATGCCATTATAGATGCTTTGAAATAAAAATTTCATTAGCTAAATATTTTTTCCACTCAATAGCTATACTAAATTTGATTATGCATTTCATTACACTTTTATATTTGTTTTTAAATTTTATTAAAAGCAATTCTTCCACAAATATCCTAACCCACTCTGTTTGCATTATTGATTTTTTCTTTCTACAGACAACTAGAAATAATACTAAAGTTTAAGCTGTCAACAAAAGGCATCAGCAATTTTAATTATGTTGATAAGTGTTGGAAAAAATCATCTCAGTAAAATTTGTGATTTTTTACTTCTATGCAAAGTGAGCCTACTATCCCTCTATGAGTACCATTATATGCTCCCTTTCCCAGTTGCATTCGTGAAAATATTATCTCACTAATGGTATTAGAAATCAAATTATAATTCACTTCACAGCAGTAATTTTGAATATTTTCAAGCGCTTTTGGTCAATTGTTTTCTTCATACATTGATCATTCACCCACTTCCTTGTCTACCTTCAACGAAGGTGTGTTTATTTATTAATTTTTAAGCATGTTCAATACTGAAATATAAGTCCATTTTCTGTTGTTACTTGTAGACATTTTTCCCAGGTTATATTTGGCTTTAAATTTTATGTTATGGTGGAAAGTTATTTTTTTATTTTACTTTTCCTTCCTTTTACTAAAAATGAACAAAACAAAACCAAAACCAAAACAAAAACCCCACAGTTTTTCCATACTTAAATCCTTTTGTGTGAAATGACATGAAGTAGAAGACAAAATTGTACCATCCCCAAAAGCTATTAACCTTAAAATCTAATGTATGTTTTGGCAAAAGTTTCTTTTATAAGAAGTTTTAAAAATTTACTTTATTGCTTCTGCTGTTTTGCTTAGCTTTTGGCATTAGAAATATTACATAAAGGAGTATAAAGATTTCCAAGATGACTGTTAGGGTTTTTTCAGCAATATTATATTTTCTTTATTTGTATAGTTAAATATTATTCCTATTTTATAATAATTTAGTATTTTATTGGTAGTAATTTAAGACATAATGTTTATAAATAAAGCATTTTAATTTTGTTTAGCTAGTTTTAATTTCCGGGATTAATAACTAAATATCATTGCAATTGTAAAAACAATCCTTCAGAGAAAATAATCTATCACAAGATGACTATTTGGAAAGACAACTTTTATCTAAGTTGAAAGTTTAGTTTTGCTTTAAAAAATAATAAGTTAATACACACAAAATTATTTTGACGAAATTTAAATGAATGCAATCATTACAAAAACGCATATGAGTCTCAATATAAACCATTTCCTTTTAGATATAAATATTAAGAGAAATGAGAATTATATGAAATATTGGTTAGATTTAAAGCAGGGTTCTCCAACTGGAAATCTTGACAACTAACTGATTATACTCAACTGTATCAAGACCTCCTAGGCAGTTTTTTAGAAGATAATTAATAGGGTGCCTTATAATCTATCACTTTTGCTCATAAATGTTAATATTTGTATTAAGTTTGATTTAGGCATTAACAGAACTGAGTCACTTTTTTTTTCCAATTTTTATAATGAGTTAAAGCATACATAACAAAACTTGCCATTGTAACTATTTTTAAGTATATAGTTCAGTTAAATACATTCATGATGTTTGTGCAACCATTGCCACTATCCAAATCCAGAACCCTTTTCATCTTGTAAAACTGATATTTTATATCCATTACACAATAACTCACAATTCTTCCCCCAAGCCTCCAGGAACTACTTGTCTATGATTTTGACTACTTTAATTATCTCATGCAAGAATATACAATATTTGTCCTTTTGTAACAAGCTTATTTCATTAGCATAATATCTTCAATTTTCATCCATGTGGTAGCGTATTTCTGAACTTCTTTCCTTTTTATGGTAAAATGATATTCCTTTATATGCATATGTCACATTTTTCTTATCCATTTATCCACACGTTACCATTTTCTTCTTTTTCTTTCATCTGAGAATATTAATATCTCATAATTTGAAAGGAAATATGGCTTAACTAAATTAAATGTTCGGTGTATGTTTTTTGATACCACAGTTCTAGATCTCATCTAACTGTTCCAGGCTGATATGGAACTATCTCCTTCACCAAGCCTGCTGATTTCTTTCTCACAGTCATGAAACACAATTTGAAAAGAATTGGTCTTCTCTCTGCTCCTCTCTTATTACCTTTCATCTTCTCTCTTTCTCTCTCTCAAAAATCCCTCTTTCTCTCCCACCTTCTCTTTCCCCCCAGCCCCTCTTCCTTACTCATAAATACTGAGTAGCATGTTCTTCCACGGCAATATACCTTGTAGATATTTAAAACTTTTTAAATCTCTCCAAGATTGTGGCCTACAGGTCCTACTTCAGTTGTGAATCTTAGGGTTTTAGTTTTCAGAATTTTTTTATTAAATTAATTCTATCAGTGATAAATGAGCAGGAAGTTATTTTTTAATCTAACCTTATACAGTCTGTTATGGGAAGATAACAAAATTAATTGGTGCTTGTTATGTGCTTCAAATAAATTTCATTTATTGTATTTTATTTATCCATGTTTTTAAGCTTCTGTTCTGTTTTTCCTGCTATTGTTTTTACTCCCTGCACACATACATGGCATGGGCTGATTAAAAATTTAGGCATAACCTTCTAATAGTCATCTAGTCTTGCTGTTTGTATAGCTCATATTCCTCATTTATAAAATGCACATAATCATATCTATCTCATAGTTTTGAGGTAAAAGTGCAATGAAATTGTATATATGAAACATTATATAATACCTGACAAAATGCTTATGTTTAAAAATGGCAGTTAAACAAAAGTAATTTCTTGATATGTTTGATAATTACTTAAATGAAATTATCTGATAATTTAAATTTACCAAAACTAAAACATAATTCCAAGATATACTTACTAACTTTAGTATTGATCAGCTTATAAACTATATTACATATGGCACCTTAAAAATGTTAGCATGTTTTTAAACAACAGTGTTTATTTCCAAACACAAAAATTGTATTACAAAAATACATAGTGTGATTAATGTATTTTACAACATTTGATCATAAATAACATATTAAAATATATCATTCACATTAGCTAATAAGAATTTAATTCAACACATATAACTAATAAATATTTATTTATATCATCTTCTTATATCATTCTATTTATTACTTTAATCATCTCTTGAATTAGTCTCTTATTCTTTCTCATTTTCATTTGACCTTGCTTTTTCTGAATACCACATTTACCATTCTGCTTCATTATTTTTTCTGTTATTCCCAGCAATCTAAATAAAGTAGAGTCTTTCCTCAGTCTCCGTGGAGAATTGAGGAATTATAGGACATCTGCCCATACCAAAATTCATGGATGCTCAAGTTCCTTATATAAAATGGTGTAGTATTTGTGTATGACCTACACACATCTTCCTGTATGTATACTTTAAGTCACTTCTAGATTACTTATAATACCTAATATAAGGTAAATACTATATAAACTGTTGTAATGCATTTTTCTTTGTATTATTTTTGAGTATTGTATTGCTAGTTTCACATTTATTTTTCAAATAGTTTTTATCTGCAGTTGGTTGAATCTGAAGATGTGGAACCCACTGACACATAGAACACAATGTACTCCTCTCTTCATCATTCCAGACAGCTCTGCCGTTTGTCTCTCTGCATTAAAGTCAAATAAAACACTTATGCCCACACATTATTGATTGACAAAACATATAAATTTTTTTCAATTTTTCTTTCCTCTTTTTCTCTCTTTTCCTCAAATAGTTGTTAAATAGTATCCATTATGTCTTTCAAAATTCTTTGAGTTTAATTCCAAAGAATGTTTCTGAGACTGTGATGAACTCCAGTAACCGTATTTACTCCAGCTTCATTTGAATGCATGCCCGTATACTCCTATAAGTCCAAATAATTACCCAGGCAGTAGACTATCAGAGATAAACAAGCAGAAAGTTTTTTTTTAATCTAACTTTATACAGTTTTACATAAATAGAGAATAGAAAGGATGGCAGGACTCTTAGAATTCAGCACATTCTGGGAAAGTGTTCCATATTTCCCTATAACATGAAACTTTTTTTGTGTGTGTGTGGGTGCTTTCCCCAATCTTCCAATGTTTCTCTGGGATATGTGACATTTTGTTGTTGTTGTTGTTTTCTATGTGCTCCCCATAGTGCCTAGACCAAAGTGCATTAATCACCGAGAGTTTACTTAAAGTTGGGTGTCCTAACTATTCCATCCTGTGTGTTCATTCCATAAGATCCAACTAAAGTAAAATTATTTGAAAAGTAAAACTGTTGCCTGTATATTTTATTTTTTCTATCAAATTAAATGTCTTGGATTAAAGATTTTGTGATTATTTCATAAATTTTATGGTAGAATATCCACAGAATTTTCTCTTGAGCTCATGGTTTTTCAATTTTACATTTACTCTCTTCCTCTATAATTTTCTTTATGTTAAATGAACAATCTCATGTCATAGATTTATCTTACACTCAAAATATCCTTTTCTCTAAAAAACAATCTTATCACTCCTTCACGGATCTGCTTGGTCTTCACTCCATAGACAATTGGATTTAAGGTGGGAGGAAGCAACAGGTAGAGGTTGGCTATAAAAATGTGAACATGGTGAGGTATGGTGCGTCCCCCAAAACGGTGGGTGAAGAAGTTAAAGAAGGCTGGGACATAGGTGATAACAATAGCACATATGTGTGATGTACAGGTACTGAAGGCTTTATGACGAGCATCTGTAGATGACAAATTCAGCACGGATAATCATGGTGTAAGACATGGAGATACAGAACATGTCAAACCCTCCAATCAGTATGGCAGCAATGAGACCATAGATTGCATTAATCTTTACATTGCCACAAGATAATTTGGCTAAAGACATATGGTCACAATAGGTATGGTGAATGAGGTTACCTCTGCAGTAGGGAAGACGTTTGATCAGGAATGTAAATGGAATCATGAGCAACACACTGCGAATGAAGGTGGCAAGTCCAACCTTGGCAATTACAGTGTTGGTGAGGATGGTGGAATAGCGTAGAGGGTAGCAAATGGCCACGTAGCGGTCTAGAGCCATAAGCATAAGCACACCAGACTCCATGCCTGTTAGCATGTGGATGAAAAACATCTGCACAAGGCAGGCATTAAAGTCAATCTTTTTAAGACTGAACCAAAAGATACATAACATATTGGGAACAAATGAAGTGCACCCAGTGATATCTGTAAGGGACAGCAAAGCTAGAAAATAATACATGGGCCTGTGTAGATCCTGCTCATGGCTGATGAGATAGATAAGCCCACAGTTCCCAACAACAGCAATGATGTACATGAAGCAGAATGGCAGAGAGATCCAGACGTGTGCAGATTCCAGCCCAGGAATCCCATTGAGGATGAGGTATCTGGGTGTCAGACTGGAGCTGTTGGCCCCATACATGATGATCAGTTAGAAACCATGCTACTTTTCATACCAATAAAATTGTCCTGTATAAAAATAGAGTAGTGAGATTATGTGAATCCACAGGGAAAAAACGATAAGTACATTACACAATATAAATAATAAATTCTAAAAATTCATTATTTTGTACTCAGACTACATTTTTTGATCCATCCTAATAAGAGGTTTTATACCTACTACTGAATCAAAAGAATACAAACGTAGTACAGGCATAGCATCAAAGTCCTGACCTGCTTTGCTTTTATATTAGAAGCAAAATACCTACTCATATTCCCAGGTTGGTGACTAATTTGATTTTGTCCCCTCAACCAATTTCCAAATTATACACTGTGTCTAATTATCATTCAATCTCTTAATCTCCCTTTTTCCAAGAAGTACTTCTAATATGTCTATTAGGTTATAATCAATTATATTAGTGAGCACCTACCTATGACACACTTTGACTACGAGTCTTGACCAGACCTATATAAAAGTGTAAACCTGGCAAATCTCGATCTTCCAAGTCATAGTAATCAAGGACCAAAGATATGACAAATGAAAAATTTGCATAATAAGTCTTACCTTACAAAGCATGGCTCCGTGCACTTTGTAATATACCTTTAATTGTTTATTTCTGGTTCATGTGAAAGGTGTTGTGTAAAATTTATCTTTTTTATTAAATCATGACTATGTACATTAATACATTTATGCTGAATTGATAAACAATATGAAATGCTTACATTGAACTGATTAACATAGCCACCACCTTGCTTGCTTATTTGTTGTGGTAAGACATTTATACTCTATTGTTAATGGCTTTGAAATGTACCATTGTATTATGCACGTTAGGTGAGGTCCCACCAAATACCATCCCTCCTCCCAGCTTACCCCCTCCTGTCCCCTCTCTCTCCTCTTCTCTCTTTCTTTCTGGATTATAGTTTTGTTTTATCATTCATATAAATGTGTAGGTGATTATACGTTGGTTTCATAGTAGTATTGAGTATATTGGGTACTTTTTCTTCCATTCTTGAGATACTTTACTAAGAAGACTATGTTCCAGCTCCATCTGAGTAAACATAAAAGATGTAAAGTCTACATCATTTTTATGGCTGCATAATATCCCATACATATACCACAATTTGTTAATCCAATCATCAGTCGATGGGCACTTGGGCTGCTTCTGTGACTTGGCAATTATGAATTGGGCTGCAATAAATATTCTGGTGCAAATGTCTTTGTTGTAAAATGATTTTTTGGTCATCTGGGTGTATACCTAGTAGAGGAATTGAAGGATCAGACAGTAGGTCTATTTTTAATTCCTGAGTATTCCTCAAAATTCTTTCCCAAAGGAATGTACTAGCTTGTATTCCCACTAGCAGTGCAGAAGTGTTCCCTTCTCTATGCATCCATGCCAACATCTGTATTTCAGGGATTTTGTGATGTGGGCTAATCTGACTGGAGTTAGATGATATTTCAAAGTGGTGTTGATTTGCATTTCTCTGATGATTAAAGATGATGAGTATTTTTTCATGTTTGTAGGCCATGCACTTGTCCTCTTCAGAGAAGCTTCTATTCAAGTCTCTTGCACACAAAGAAATGGGGTTATTTGTTTTTTCCTTATTGATTACTTTAAGTCCTCTTTATAGCAATGATATTGTTAAGCACTAATTAATTTTCTTACTTTCCATTAATTCTCTTCAAATCTTCATGTAGATAAGTAAGATAGATATCGTGCTTATATATGCATATATATATAAGCATTCTTTAGAATATATTGAGCTATCAATGTATAGTGTGTGTGTGTGTGTATAATCATAGTTTTATGTTTTCTTTTTATGTATATATTTTTAGGCCCCAAATACCCATGGATAATTATATTTGGTGGGATGAAATTCTTATAGTTTAAGAGTCTAAATTTAGAAAAGGAACCACTATGAAAGCTTTCCTATTTTAAATCATAACACTCTAACATTTTTTTCTTTCATTCTTTTTTTGTTTCATTTTTAGGAAATTCTTTCTTCTATTATATTTTAAAAAATATTTTCTTAATTATTACTTGTTTTAGATTACCAAATTTAATTATTCATTTTTTCCTAGGATTATATATTCTATTGTATTTTCACAGCTTATTTTACATTTTACATTTTCTTCTGTTTCATTTTAATTTCATCTATATACTTTCCTTTCATGAAGTTCTAATTTTAATTCCTTACTGCCTATCCCCTCTCAATCTATCTATTTCTGTCAAGATATTCTGTAGAGGTATATGGGTTTTGTTTAATTATCAGTTTTTTCTTTTTTTTTATTAAATGATAGCAGTGTACATTAATGCAATCATGGGGAACAGTGTGGTGTTTTCATATACAATTTGAAATATTTTCATCGAACTGGCTAACATAGCCTTCATGTCATTTTCTTAGTTATTGTGTTAAGATGTTTATATTCTACTTGTAGAAAGATTCACTTGTACCCTTATAAGATAAACCATAGATGTTTTAACTCATGGAAAATTTTCACATGTTGCTATATAATTGATCTCTCTATATTAAAAAAATACAAAAAAAAATTCTAAAAATGTTTCTAAGCATTTTACTCAATTGTGAAATACTTTAACATTATGTAAAGTAAACCATGAAAATTTTCAGCACAACCTGGAACATAATAAGCAAAATACATCTTGGTAATCACACTTATTTTTAATATTATTTCTATTCTTTTGCTCTATAAAATAAATGGAAGTAAAATTATGTCTAGTTATACCTTAAAACCTCCTGTATCTTTCTACCTCAGAGCAAACACCAAGATTCTTACATTGTTTACTAAATCCTACACTGTCAGGAACATTTTAAATTTCTGAATGTATCCCAGAATTATAACTTTTATTCTCTCAGTCCATTTACACCTTGTGGAAGTTATCAAACTCAACAAATATGTGCAACTCAGAGTATTTCTACTGGCTGTTTTCACTACCCTATGTTCTCTCTGAGATAATAACACACATCATCATTTTCAGGTCTCTACTCAGTGTCATCTCAAAGTAAAGTTTTCCATGACCTCCCAATTTAAAGTTGCAACTCCCAGATACCCACCAATCTTGGTGTAACATCTCCCTTTAAAGCCTCTCCATACTCCATGGAAATTAATATGGTCTATTGTATCCTGACCAGAATGTAAAATCTATATTCACAGGGATTTCTGGGTTTTTTTCTTTTTTTTTTTTTTTTTTGTTGTTGTTGTTCATGCTATCACTCAGTACAAGAAAACCCATTATATGATGAATTAATGGATGAATAAAACTCATCTCTGTTTTGGGTGATCCTCCTGGTTGTATATAAATGCCTTAAATTTTTGTCATGGTAAGCATTTTTAAATACATATTCATTTGAAAGACATCATTTAAAGATGCTTTTAACTTGAAGATTCTTTTAAATAAATTAAATTAGAGATATTTAAAATCAGAAAGAACATATGTAGTAGATGCATCCAATTTTCTTTTTTATTATTTTGTGCCCTGTAAGGAAGGGCACATGTATTATGAATAGAAACAGTTACAGAAAAGTAGATTTGAGCTGAAATAATGTTGCTTATTCATGCAGATAACATTTTCTAGTGGGGTAATGGGATCACTGTTATTAGATGTAGTCCACCAAAGGGAAAATGGCACAATAATGAATAAATGTATAATGTCAAAAGATTGGGTTACGTGATCAGTGGTATTTCTTTCAACTCTTGCAATAATTTATTTTTATTCATAGAGGTCTTACTATTTCCTAAAGTGCACTTCATCTATGGAAAGCAGAGAAGGTTTTCTATTATTATATAGGAGTACGCTTGCCTGTAACATTATCTTTTTTATTCTTGTCATCAGATTCATGCAATCTCCTTCTTTCAGTGCCTAAACTACATTTATTTTTTCCCACTTATCCCTCCTCAAGGCAATATTAAAATGCCTTTGGTTTCAGAACAATAAAGAGTGAAGATAATTCAGTAAATAATTCAGATGAATAATTCATTCTTATTCAACAATCATCTAGCTCAAATATCTTTCCTTCAGTAGCACAATTTTTGTACATCTTATATATTTGTTCTTTTTTAATCATCCATACTCACCTTGTTGGCAGCTGTTTTTAAAATCTCTATTCATGACTGATATTACTCAGAAACAATTGCACTAGATTGGTTAGGAAAGCTATATAAACTGAAAACATTCTCTAGGGATTGTCCAAGCAAAGGGACAAAAGTTGTTTGGAGCTTTACAGATAGATGTCCCCCAGGTCTCTTACACAGGGAGATAAATTTAAGTTTGTAAAAGCTATGTTGAATTTTTATGATTTTCTCTGAAGGGACATGCAAAGTATCTGGCATTTACTGAATTATAAATCTGGAATTATATCTGACTCCAGGAGTGCTTAATTCCACTTTTTAACTTTTAACATTTTTATTTTTGTCATATCTTTACCATGTGGAATGCATTGGTTCCAATGATCACAAATATTGAGTCAACAATATCTTAGCTTTTATGCTAAAAGTTTGTTAAAATATATTTTTGCAGTAGGTTGGATTATGTATTCTTTTAAATTGTTGCACTGTTCAAATGCAATATTTCCCCATTCCTGTTTCTCTGTACCTTGGTAGAAATATAGTACTCTTAAAATTATAATTTCATTTAGTAATCTTGAACACATTCAAAGAATTAAATTTCAGAGTTAATGTCTTGCTCTAGATTAGGCTTTGGCATGAGGAAATATTGTGGTTGATTTGATCTATCCAGAACACTATAACTTTCCTCCTGTAAGTAGTAAGACGGTTTTGCTTTCTTATGTGTGTTCTCTAGTTCAGCACTTTTCAATTTCCTTCAATAATCTTTCCTTTATATTCACAGTTTGGGTAGCTATTTCATTCAAGAGACCTAACTTTTGGCTTATCATGCCTACCTCACTAAGGTTAATAATCATTTCTAACTTTTAATTTAAAGTGAGAGATGGGCCACTATTTTTTCA